TGCCTAGCTTAAAAGTTCCCCTAAACTAGCCCCTAAATTAATTTTTTTTTACGATCGTCTTTTAGCCTATATTTCGAGCACCTAAATTTAGGGGGTCTTTTAATATTTAGGTGACCCCTAACTGTCGATGAAACAGAAACTGCCCCCTAACAGCCACCTAACTATGCTTAGGGGATCCCTTAAACTTAGGTGACGTAGGTGAAATCGGCCAGAAGTCTCTCTCGTGACCATGAGTGAGCAAAAGATAGTTTTTTTTAAAATGTCAAATATTCGCGTAGTTATAAGAAAGACCTATGTATGAATCGGGCCTTAGTTATACCCTTCAAGTGGCACTATCTGTACAATGTACATATATCTACACAAATCCATACGAATAAATAAAATTGAAGTGTCTGTTTGTAATTTCAAAATAACAACTTTTTACTAAATGCATATAAAAGTATATACGGTACCCTCTTATAAACAAAAAAATTCAAAAAAAATTCAAACAAAAATTCTGTCTATATGTTGTGTTTAATCTCGTAAACGTACCGATTTTTTTGACGGAACTTTCACTGGCCGATAGCTGATGTTTTAAGTACTATATAATACATACTTTTATTTTAAAAAAGACTTAGGGTTCCATGAAAAAAAAATAAGGCAATAAAACTGTAAAAAAAATCCGCTTACCTAGGGACGCACCCGAGCGAAGCGGGATAAGTCGCTAGTTATAAATACAAAAGGCAAGTCAGGACGAGCCCGAGCGAAGCGAAGGTAAGTGACTAATTACTTTACATAAGCTTTACCTTTCGCCTTTTTATTGATTTTGACAAATTTTAAACAAAACGGACAGAACAAATTAGCACTCTAAGGTGACGAATTGTAATCAAAGCTAGCCAAATAATTGTACTCTAAATTTTAAATCTATAGATGCACTGTTTCTCTGGCAGCTACGAAGATAATTACTAACGATGTTTTGATTGTGTTTTAATACAGGATGTATAACCAGTCGTAAAAACTATTTACTACAGTATATACATATATTATACTAGCGAAGCGAGGGTGAGCACTCTCGCTTCGCTCGGGTTCGTCCCTGGCTTGCTTCCCAATACAACCTTTCATCCCCATTTTCACTCTCTTAAGGGATGATTTCTAGGATAAAAAGTACCCTATGTCCTTTCCAGGGTTTCAAACTATCTTCTTACCAAATTTCATCTAAATAGGTTCAGTACATTCAGAGATTACCACCTACAACGTCACAAACTCACAAACTTTACCTCTTTATGATATTAGTATAGATAAATTATAATTTATGATTATTTATTTATTAAGGGGTCTAGTGTACTATTACAGGGGGCATCCATTAATTACAAGAGCTGGTTTTCTTTCAATTTAGACCCCTCAACCCCCCAGATATACGAAATAAATTTATACAAGGATTACTCATTTAATACATACTTAATATGTATATTGCATATCTATGCAAGAAATCATTTTGATGTATTGTTTCGTTGCTGCGTTAATGAAGGACAAACATACAAAGAAAATGACCAAAGGGCAATTAAGAACAAAAGGTCAATACAAAGTTGAACCACTTCTTCCACTCCTAAAATTTAGAATTTTCAATATTTTTGAGAGCCTGTAAATTACATAACTTATTACTATTATCTGACCAAAAAAAACTGCCTCGGTGGTGTAGTGGCTAGCATGAACGGCTTCACACTCGGAGGTCCTGGGTTCGAGTCCCGGGTCGGGCCAAGTTTAGTTATTGAGTCTTTCTGTATAGTAAGTCTCAGTAACAGCCCGGAGTTGTGAAGTTGGCGGTGTTTCACCCCCGTGCCTCGGAGAGCACGTAAAGCCGTCGGTCCTGCGCCTTAACTCTCACTGGTCGTGTCGAGCAGTCGTCCCACTAGAGTATGAGAGTGACAGGAATAGAGAGTGCACGTTGTATCTGCGCGTACACTTGTGCACTAAAATATCTCCTGCGCAGTTGGCTAGTCTCAATGAGATTGGCCGCCGTAGCCGGAATCGGCTAGGAGAACATCATAATCTGACCAAATGTCATGGTCGTAGCTTTTTAATTTGAGACTAGCGATTCACCCTCGCTTCGCTTCGGTTCGTCCCTAGGTGCGTTTACGATTTTCCAACTGTTTTTTGGGGTTACCCTATTTTTTTATACTTAAACCACCCCTGACATACCCCCAACAAAACAAAACAGAATTATTCAAATCGCTCAAGCCCTTTTTGAGTTTTAGCGAGATTAACGAACAGCAATTGCTTTTTATATATACTCGTACATAAATCAGTCAGTTAGTGAGTGAATTTATATATAAAGGATTCGATAAAATGGTTGTTTACGCCAGATTATCTAAGAAAATCAGTCATTACAAAATACCCAACTATAATGAATGATAACTTTAATTGACATATAGTTAACTAGCATTTGCTCGCAGCTTCGCTCGCGTAGTTAAGGTTGTATACCCATACATATAATAAAATTGTAACTAAGTCGAATCTGTACATTAAATATTTTTTTGAAAATCTTATTGAAATATACATTATTATCGATAAGTAGGCCAAATCTACAGTTTTTAGAAATTTTGTCTGTCTGTCTGTTACCGCATCACAGAGAAACCACTGTAGGGATTTTGATGAAATTTGGTATGGTCATAGCTGGTTATCCAGGTCAATATATGGGATACTTTTTATTGAGGGGAAAATATCTAATTTCTGAGAAAAAATACAAAAACTGGTTAGAATAAAATCACGATGATAGTATATACACATTACACATTCAAATGAAATTGATATATGTAAGAGTAGGTATACTAATATGTAAAACCTGAGAATTTGGTTTTTGGTCGTCTGAACGCGGGCGGAGCCGCGGGCAATGCTACTTTATAAATATAATAAAGGCTCACGTAGTATGGGTACTTTCCCTAACAGCGGTTTTAAATAACCTATCTATCAGATATTTTCACAAGAGACAGTTATTTGACTTAAGCTCCATACATATAATGCCAAATCCCTATCCCTAGTACGGAAAGCAACACACAGACGTATAGAATTCATTTTCCTCAATAAATAGTCTTTATAATGCAAGTTTTTTTGAAATCGAACTACTACTTTTAGATTAGCTCGTTTAAGCAATCAAAAAAGTAATCTTCAATTTTATTGTATAGGTAATAAAGTCTACTTTACGCTGGCTTTGTATAAAAACGTATTTTAAATGCCCTAAGATAGATGATACATTATGGTCGTAAACATGTTACGTTTAGAGATTGATAAATAAATTTAGAAATAATAATCTATACGTATAATAAAATTCTGTGTCGAATCTGTCTGTACATTGAATATTTTTTGGAAAATCTTACTGAAATAGTCAATTTTATCGATACAGAGGCCGAATCTATAGTTTTTAGAATTTTCGTCTATCTGTCTGTTTGTCTGTTTGTTTATCCCACCACAAACCACTGGACATATTTTGATGAATTTTGGTATAATGATAGCTGGTTATCCGGGTCAATATATATGATACTTTTTAGTGCGGGAAAATATGTCATCTCTGAGATCTATACTTACCGTTGAAAGGTTCCTAGGGACGAACCCGAGCGGAGCGAACGTGTGAAAATTTACATATATATAAACTAGCGGCTCACACTCGCTTCGCTCGGGATCGTCCCTGTGTACGTTTTAACGGTTAGTATTAAATAGACTATATTATATATACATAGGTACAAAATAAACAGTTCTGGAATTTTCGATTTTTCAACTGTTTTTTTTTGGGGTTTTCCCAATTTTTTTATACTTAAACCATCCCTGACACACCCCCAACAAAACAAAAAAAAAAGAATTATATAACAAACAGCAATTGATATAGAAGACTAATGGCCGACGTCACCTAAGTTTAAGGGATCCCCTGAGCATGGTTAGGGGGCTGTTAGGGGACAGTTTCTGTTTCACCGACAGTTAGGGGTCACCTAAATGTTAAAATGCCATCTAAATATAGGTACTAGAAATACGGGCTTTGACGATGGTAAAACGAAATTTAATTTAGGGGCTAGTTTAGGGGGACTTTTAAGCTAAGGATCCCATACGTAGGTGGTAGCTTAAGTGATGTTGGTGAATCGGGCATAAAAAGCCTAGCCACGCGTTGCTGTAGCACAAACATAAAAATCGTTAATTTTGCATTAAAAAAAGAAAATAATGGGGATAAAATCTATCCTTTCTATTAAGTTGGAATAAATTACACATTTAAAAAAAATTACGATAAGATTGGATAAGTAGTGTCAGAGTTCAAAGCGGGCCAACATCGCGACACGGCAATTTGATATATTAGGTAACATGTATATACACCAAAACCAAAATAACTTTAAGTGCATTTATTCCACCGTAGGGGGAGGATATTTAAATAAATTTCACCCCTGCATTTATTCCATCCCGAGGGGAGGATTTTTGAAAAAAATATATATGAGACCATCTCTAAGATGTAGTTTATACATAAAAAAGAAAATCATATCACAATTGATAAAAGATAAAATCAAACGAACACACACTAATCGAGCACCTTAAATACAATAGATATAGCTCTAACAGACAGACTGACAAAAAACAGACGCCATTATTTCTTCTACACTGTAACATCAACATTTACAAACATAATTATTTTATATGTCATTTGCATACAATGACGAATCACATAAACATTTTAAATTTAAAGTAAAAACAAAATATTAGAACAAAATTGTATTATTACGGTACCTTGAAAGTTTTATCAAAATCAATTCACGCTTTTTTTAATATTTCAAAGGAATTTCAACACATAATTATAGAAGGTCAGACAAAAATCTTTATATATTTACAGATACCTTTTTCCCATTAATTATTGCTATTTCAAACCATCTCAAGCAATTTTATTTCCAATTTTAATTAAACTTATTATATTTTAAACACGTTTTTATCAATATAAATAGCATTATAGATATTAAAAGTTATCGTTAGGTCAAACAAGTCTCACAAACCTTGAATTCATGTCCGTTCAACCTCACAACTGACTAACAACTGGTTACTGGTTTATATCACGCATTTTCCTTATGCGAGGTTTAAATCAGAAGAATATATTTTTTATTGCTTGTGACGTAATAAAATATAATTAACTAATGTTTGTTTATTATTTTGTCTGTTAGTTCTTCACGCTGTAACTGCTTAACTGATTTGAAATTACAAAATTCAACGATATGTAAAGATTTTATCGACGTATCTACCCGAAATAGCGGATGAAAGCTAGATTATTGTAATATTAAACTACCCGCTTTTATTTATCTTTTGTATTATCAACTAGCGGCTCATCTTCGCTTCGCTCGGGATCGCCTCTAGAAAAACAAATCTATCCCTCGGGAAACGTATATTTTTCCGGGATAAAAGTAGCCTTTGTGCTATTCCAGACTATGATCTATCTCTGTGCCAAATTTCATCCAGATCCGTTCAGCTGTTCCAGCATGAAAGAGTAACAAACATACATCCATACATACATTCTTACAAACTTTCGCGTTTATAATATTAGTAGGATTTTGTAATCATTTTCTACATCACAAGCGAATTTCTCTCGCTCGAGTACATCTTGGTGTCTAACTGTAATCTAGGTGATACTCCAGGTCAGTCTATCCCCCGCAGGGGTGTTGCAGTGAATGCGCAAGCGATCCTGCAACGCTCCATTGCACTGCGACGACGGGTTCCGCTGTGGGTTTTAGTGAGTAGGAGTCTCACAGTACCTTGTCTGTTATGACGGCGGGCAGGGTCCCCATAATGGGTTTCCCCAGCGTCAACAAAAAAAAAGGTCAGTCTATCCCCAAATGGTTTGCTTTGGCAGTCAGCCCTCGGGGCGTCTTATTAAGACTGGGGAGGTTCCGCTTAAGTGGGTAGTACTGGCTTTTCTATCCGGTGAGTCCCACATAACTACATAATATTTAAAGGTGGTATGAATAAGTTTCCATCTCCTATAAGTTTTAATTCTGCGAAAAACGGTAGCCTTTTCCAAAGTTCAATCAATATTTGTACCAAAATTCATCAAAATTGATTCAGAAGTTTAGGTGTGAAAACGTCGCAAACAGACAGACAGAGTTACTTTCGCATTTATAATATTGGTTTGGGTAAAGATTGGGGTTTCCTCAACCCCTTAACCTTCTTTGTGATGTTCTTCTATAGAAAATTCCCGCTTTTTATAAACATGCTGATAAGCTGTATCAAGAGACCGTTACGATTCGGATTCGGATGAGCGTGAGTGAGGAGTATAGAGCGATAGATGCTCAACGTATAAACAGTTTTTAAACAAAAGTTTTTAATCTATACATATAATAAAGTTCTAACTCAGTCGAATCTTTATATTAAATATTTGTTTTGAAAATCTTATTGAAATAGTCATTATTATCGATACAGAGGCCGAATCTATAGTTTTTAGAAATTTTGTCTATCTGTCTGTCTGTTACCGCATCACGAGAAAACCACTAGACAGATTTTAATGAAATTTGGTATGATGATAGCTGGTTATCCGGGTCAATATATAGGATACTTGTTACCGCGGGAAAATGTCTTTTTCATCCCCATTTTCACCCTCTTAAGGGATGATTTTCGGAATAAAAAATATCCTATGTCCATCCCAGGGTCTCAAACTATCTTTTTACCAAATTTCATCCAAATCGGCCCAGTAGTTTTTGTGTTTATTCGTTACAAACATACAAAAATACAAATCATTCCTCTTTATAATAGTAGTGTAGATCCTCTGTGTAGAGGAGAGGGCGCTTCAGCGCTGTAGAATCAGTCGCTAACATAGTCCTGGAATACGTAGCGGTAATTTCTCAACGCGATGAAATCCTCGGACCAATGAAGTCACTCCACGAAGCCTGTGAAGTTTGTAGGAACTTCTGGGCTATTGGGCGGAACTAGGCTGGCTAAATAAGCCAAGATTCGTAACTACAACGGACCAAATATGAGTCTAAAAACGGAAAACCTGTGCAATTTATGCAAATGACGACACGTTATGGCTCAGTTGGTAGTGACCTTGCTTGCTGTGCCAGCGGTCGCGGGTTCGAGTCCCGCTGGGGGCATTCATTTGTGATGAGCACGAATGTTTGTACTCCAGTCATGGGTGTTTATATTTATAATATGTATGTATTTAAAGTTATATATGTGTAGTGTATCAACTACCTGGTATCTATAACACGAGCCTCGTAGCTTACCATAGAACTAGATGGCGCTGTGTGTTAATGCTCCAACATTTATTTATTTATTTAATTTACAATACAATAGTAAAACTCTTCAAAGGCAACTCCTAAACATCTTAAGAGCTTGGATTAATTTGATAATTGTATTTTTAGTCAAACTATACTTATTCTTTATGCGATCATACTTTGCTATTTGGTAATGCCGGACCCACACGCTTGCCAAACCTTGACAAGACATCAAAAATTCAAACATGTGGAGAGGGCGTTTGGCTTGAATTGTGGTTTTAGGTTTAGGTTGGCAAACGCTTGGCGGTTCTGATAATATTCATCAAAGAAAATTTGCGGTAATAGCATGTGATATATCAGCACGTTTGCATGTTTGAAGTTTGTGGCAAATGGCAAGTGTGGAATCGGCATAACATTAAAAGGTCAAGGACCTTACAAAAGTTCTATGTTCCAAGTAATTAAATTATGTAAATATCTCTCGTCTTGCCATTCATTTTATTTATCTATACATATAATAAAAGCGTTACTGATAGCTGTCTGTACATGGAAGATATTTGAGAAAAACTATTATTGGGTGTTCTTTATTAAACAATGACTTATATATTTTTTGTCTGTCTGTGCGTTTGTGCGCTCTAATCTCAGAAACGACTTAACCGATTTGGTTGCGGTTTTCACTAATATTTTGTGGTAAACTTCACTTAACATTTAGTATTAGTATTATTTCAATCGGTTCATAAATAAAAAAGTTATGTAATTTTAAAAATCACTCAGGGACGAACCCGATCGAAGAGAGGTGAGTCGGTAGTGATAAAGAAATTTGACGGCCGGTTTTTTTCCGATTTCAATGAAAGTTATTGATTTTGGATAGTAAACACATTTTTATCGGAATATTATAAATTAAAAATTAAAAAAAACCCAACTTAAATTAATTGTCATTTATCGATTACACTGGCACGCGTGAAGCACTTTATCGAGTAATCATACGCCAAAATGCCTTACATCATTTTGGAAAAGAGCTGATACTCTTACACTATTGGACCTATATTAACCAAACATAGCTAAGAACCACCGCAAGGAAACTCGCTTTCAAGTGAATAAAACCGCATCGAAATCGGTCCTTCCGTTTGAGAGCTACGATGCCACAGACAGACACACACACACACACACACAGACAGACATCGACGTCAAACTTATAACTCCCCTCTTATTGGGTCGGAGGTTAAAAACAAAAGGCTCCTAGATAGTAGAAACACACCTTTTTTTTTTAACGTTGGGAAATGCATTTACGCACGACGTGTGGGACTCACCGGCGTAATACAGCCAGTACTACCCACTAAAACCCAACAAAACCTTCCCCCGTCTTAATGGAGCGTCGCAGGATCGCTTGCGCATTCAACTACGACGCCCCGACGGCAGGTCTGCCGAAGCAGACCACCACAACCATGGGGTTGCTCCACAGTCCACTCTGCTATCAGAGAAGTACCAGGAGCAACCCGCATGGTACACCGCCCCCCAAAGAGGGCCACCTCCCACCGCCCACCGAAGTGGGCAACCTCCCTGTGCGTTTCTTAGCTTCGCGCCCGGTTGGATTGCCGGGCACTACTGAGCCCCCCCACCACGACAAGGTGAACGCACGTTGGGGGGGACTAGAAACACACCTGAACGAAGCGATGGCAAGTCGTTAGTATGTACATAAAGATTGAGTGACATCTACCTATATATTTCAAATAAACCGATTATTATTAGTTTACTTCATAGACCCGAGGCCATATTTTACGATGCTAGTATCGTATTGTGTCATCTGTGGTTATAAATGTCATTGGATTCTGATATTGTCAATTTTTATTACTTTTAACCAATTATCTTAGAAAAAGGGTAATGTTTTTATGTATTTAAATGAATCTATGTACGTCTCTATCTAGACCGCAGTAACTGCTAGAGAAATAGACATATCTACATACATACATACATATATATGTAGGACTAGCATTGCCCGCGGCTCCGCCCGCATTTAGATGACCAAAAACCAAATACTTAGGTTTTACATATTAGTATACTCTAACATGGCAGTTTTTGAATATTTTCTCAGAAATGAGACATTTTCCCGCGGTAAAAAGTATTCTATATGTTGATCCGGATAACCAGCTATCATCATACCAAATTTCATCAAAATCCTTCCAGTGGTTTTTCTGTGATGCGGTAACAGACAGACAGACAAAAATTCTAGAAACCATAGATTCGGCTTCTGTATCGATAATAATGTTTATATCATCAATAAGATTTTCCAAAAAATATCTAATGTACAGATTCGGCTTAGTTACAATTTTATTATATGTATAGATTTGCGAGCAGGGCCGTCTTAAGCCACGCAGGGGCCCATGGGCACACATCAATTTTGAGGCGCTCTAGAAAGTTAAAAAAATGTGAATGATGAAATAAAAATTAACTTTATTGAATTAGATTTATACAAGCATTTTTGTATTGTCAATTTAATTTAAAATTAGTCAGTGAGTCGACGCTTGAGAAAGCTACCTCGGCTCGGAAGGCAGTTCTGCTGAGTAGAACATCGCCAGGATAAACTCAACAAGTGTTTTTTTCAACCGACTTCGAAAAGGAGGAGGTTCTCAATTCGACTGTGTGTTTTTTTTTAATATTTGTTACCTCAGAACTCCGTCATTTATTAACCGATTTGGACAATTTTTGTTTTGTTTGAAAGGGTATACTTCCAGATTGGTCCCATTTAAATTTCAAAAAAAAAAACCACCCCTAAGGGTGGAAAAATAGCTAATGATGAATTTAAACTACTTCTAATTGTCATATTGACTTGAAACTTTGCAAGTGTTTCTATTTCCGTTGATAGTACAGTGGTTCGGTATTGTTGACCTGATCTGATGGTAAGGCCAGAAGGTGGATAGGTGGAACTCTTTAACGGCTAATAGTAGATACTTTGAGTTTGGGCTTATTTTGTTTGATTTAACAAGCCTAACACGTTAGAATCCTTACTTTGCTACTAATGTCTACACTAAAAAGGGAAAAATAAAAACTTTTTAACAAAAAATAAAAACCGACTTCAAACAAAAGCACTAAAAAGTAAAAAATAACTGATTGGTAGTTTTCATTTACTATACATACCTAATCAAATATTTTTTTCCTAATCAAATATTCATTTACTATACATACCTAATCAAATAATATATATTTGATAGGTATGTATAGTAAATGAAAACTACCAATCAGTTATTTTTTACTTTTTAGTGCTTTTGTTTGAAGTCGGTTTTTATTTTTTTGTTAAAATTTTTTACATATTAAACCGACTCTACAAAATAATTTAGCAATGATAAACCATTTTAAGTGATTCGAGTCGTATCAGAGCCATCTATTGCAGCGTGGTTAAACTACATTAAAGAACGTATATAAGAAATGATGCTGCCATCTAGTTTAAATTTTTGGTAACAAATTATATCAACACACTAGCAGAACCCGCGGGCATCGCTCGCGCTAAAATTCATGCCCTATTTTACCCCCTTATGGGATAAATTTCGAAAAATGCTAAAACATGTATTTATTTAATTATATTTTCAACCAACCAAGTTACAAATAATTCTGATTATAGATATTTTTTTGAGTTGTGTTTTAACGTGTTTTCCCGTGGGAATGAGATAATCTCCCGCGGCAAAAAGTATGTCACTCTCCAGCCTTCCAATTATCTTCACACAAAAAATCACGCCAATCCGTCACTCCGTTTCGACGTGAAAGAAAGACAAACAAACAAACAAACAAACAAACAAACAAACAAACAAACAAACAAACAAACACACTGTCACATTTATAATATTAGTATGGATAAAACGATATCAATTTGTCATATATTTAATTCATTTTACTATATACTAGAGACTCACCCTCGCTCCACTCGGGCTCGTCCTTAGGTACGTTTTAATGTTAAGTATATTCTCAGAGATGAGATATTTTCTCGCAGGAACAAGTATCATATATGTTGACCCGGATAACCAGCTACCCCGGGGGAGAAGCCAACTCCTACCGGGCGCGTCCCCAGGTGGCGGATAGGGGAATGCCACCCGCTTAGGGCGGCGGGTGGTACCGGAGAAATCCGGCGCGGACCAAATGGTTTGGATGGGGCCGCTCGTCTAGGCCTCGAGCCGAAGACGTTGCGGCCACCGGTGGTGGGACCGATTGGTCCCACAACCAGATGATGGGTGCCGGTTGCGGGACTGTGGTCGCAGGCCCGCATTCGGCGGAGGGGTAGGCCGCGGCGGGAGAGGAGTGCCGGTATTTCGGTTCTCCGTTCTCCCTACCTTCCGCGGCCTAGACGGGGCCGCCACCGTTTGATGGCGGACGCGGTGGGGCTGCAGGGGAAGAGGAGTGTCGGTGTTTCGTTGCCGCTCTCCCTGTCCTCTGCAGCCGATTGGAGGTGGCCCACTTCGGTGGGCGGAGTTTCGGTTTAATGGGGCTGCTCCGGGTACCTCTCTGGTGTAGCAGAGTTGACTGTGCAGCAGCCCCATCGGTATGGTGGTCAGCCGTTGGCAGACCTGCCGCCGGGGCGCCGTAGTAGTTATGCGCAAGCGATCCTGCGGCGTCCCATTAAGCCGGAGGGGAGGGGAATGTCGGGTTTTAGTGGGTAGTGCCGGCTTTTCTAGCCGGTGAGCCCCACATCACCACCTGGGGGATCAGGTGGTATGCGTAAATGCATTTCCCGACATAAAAAAACCTCTATACAGATAATAATGACTACTTCAATAAGATTTTCCAAAAAACATTTAATGTATAGATTCGACTCAGTTAGAATTTTATTATACTATATATATATAATTTTACATTAAAAATCAATCAAATATATATATATATATATATATATATATAT